TATATTTACATATGTACATGCCTTTATTTAGACCTCTATAAATGCCCTTTGCCTCCTAGCTCTTTCCTCTATTTCCTTTGACTTTCCTCTTGTCCCACGATCATGCTCAGTCCCCACCTGGGTTTCAGCAATTCCTCTTGGTTACATTACCCTTGATCACGCCCTATGAGGCCTCCTACACCCTCCTCACCACCGATTTGGATTCCTTGTTCCCTTGTCCCTGGGTTTTTACGACCACTATTTTTATTTATTTTTTCTTGTAGTCTGTCTTTCTTGAAACTTGCCGTCCAGGAAGCCATTCTCCTTTGCTTCTACTTCCACTGACAGCAGTCCATTTCGTGCAGATCTGTGGCTCCTTCCTATCTACCTTCATTTCCTAGACAATCGCATTTGGTCTCATGCTTTGACTATCATTCACTCTTAATTTTCAAATCTGTATTCAGTGAAAAGCTCTTCCTAAAATCTGGACTCATGTCTCTATTCCACATACCGTATTCTTGGGATGTCCTGGAAGTCCTCTTGGTTCTACCCTTCAAATTACAAGGGAACTTCAAAAACTTCATGGGAAAATTCCATTATCTTCTAATTTAATTTTTCCACAAACTTTCAGAAGCTCCCCATAAACACGTGACCGCTTCTCATCACGTTCATTGTTACCGTGATAGGATACAGCCCACCACCATCTCTTACTTGAACTATTGCAAAAACTTATTCTTAGTCCCATACTCCCCAGACAGTCTAATCACCAAACAACTGGGAGAGTTACATAGCAGATCCTGGTCCAAACCCTCCAAGTTTCCCATCACACCCAATGAAATTCAGAGTCCTTCCACGGACACTGAAGACCTGCTGATCTCGCCTGACCTATCTCTGAGTTCATCATCCATGTTCTTTTACTTTCTGTGCTCAAATCGCACTGGTTTGCTCTTGCCATCCCTCCAACAGGAGAAACTCAGGGCCATGACTCATGCTTGTCCCTGCCTAGTATGAACCTTTCTATTTGGCTTGATCATTTTTTAAAAATACTTTTCAGTATTTGGTATTAAACAGCAATCAAACCCGTTGCCTTTGAGTTGATTCCAACCTGCCACAAGGCTCTAGGCCAGAGCAGAAGGGCCTCTTAAGATTTGCAAGGTCATCATCTCTACGGGAGGCACCCTAGTGGCATAGCGAGTTAGCACTGGACAGTTGGAAAACCCACCATTGTGCGGAAGGAGTCTGTTTCTGTAAAGATTTACAGTCTCATAAATCTATGGCGTAGCCCTGCCCTGTCACGATGAGTCAACTAACAATCGGAGTTTCATTTGGTTTTTTCCCTTTAGTTGTTATTGTTGTTGATCCTTTTCTCTCTTTTCTTTTCTCTCTCTCTTTCTTTTGTTGATCTTTATGAAAGCAGCTTACCACATCTTTCTCCCAAGGAGCAGCTGGTGGATTCAATCTGCCGATCTTCTGCTTAGCAGCTGAGAATTACCCACCGCACCCTAGGCTCCTTGACTTGCTGTTACATTTCAACACATTAAATTTTAGTTTCTCCTCACTACACAGATTATACACTCCACGAGGTCAAGGACTTTCTGTTGGAGTTGTTCACTGCTGTACCCCCAACACCTAAAACAGTGACTGGCACAACGGAGGTGCACAGTATTTGTCAAAAGACCAACTGGAAAACACCTGAACGGTTAGGCAGTTCAAAAGGAACAGCTTTTTATAGGGCTTCAAACTCAGTTCAAAGGCTTTCCAAGGAACATCAACTCATCAGGTTGTACAATAAAAGTTTGACCAAACCAACCTGCTTTTCCAACTGTACAAACTGTCAGTAAGCCCAGTACTGTGTGTTACAGCCAGCCAATGCCTAAAGTTAAAAACAGTCCAGCTATCAGTCTGAGAATAGAACAATGCCTGGGACCAGAAGGACAAATACCGTGACTACCTGAGAAATCCAAGTGCACTGGGCTACAGATCAGGGAGTCTAGAATGAATGTGCTCATGTTCTAATGACAAGGAGGGACTGATTAACAGCACCGGTGAATATATGACATGAGCTTCTAGCCTGGCTCTCTCTCTCTCTCTCTCTCTCTCTCTCTCTCTCTCTCACACACACACACACACACACACACTTCCCATCTTAGCTGTCAAAATTTTTTCCTCAAAGTAATACTCTACTCAACACAATTTTCAGATGGATGACTCTCAAACAGGTAGAAATATCACTTGGCGATAAAAATGTCAGGATCGCACATTCAAATATTATGATAGTATAAAGGGAGACATGGGGATCTACAAATTTAACAAGCACCCCAAGAGGTTTTAACACAAGTGGCTCACAGACCATTCTAGCAATACTTCTAGTCTAGAAAATTAATTGAGTTAAATAAATATTTATCTCCAATCCCCTGGGTCAACTTCAACTCAAAAATCAAAATTATGTAGACCTTTGCTTCTTGAGTCTCCACCTCCCTCCCTTTAAGTGAGCTGCAAATGAACCAAATTATACAAAACGTGCGCAACAAAGAGCAAAGGAGACAGCCATCCTCCCAGCACCCTGACTACTTTGCCTGGCATTTTGATATCTTTCCTTCTATCTTTGTCTCTTAGTATATAGTTTGTTCCTTTTCTTTTCACAGTTGTAATCATAGTCCATGTAATTTCAAATGTCATGTATGTTCAGCATTCCCCATGTTATCACAGTTTAGTCTTTGAAAGTATGATATTTAGTGGCTGGATTTCCCTACAGTTGAACACTTCCTCACTATTAGAAATAATGTAACTGAAAATATTTCTGTGTAGGCAATTTTTTTCAGGAGTGGAATATTCCTTCAGAATGTGTGGAAGGGCTGGAAAAAGGTGGGGAAGTGTACGTATAGCTCCAAACTGTTTTCTAAAGGGTTTTAACACCACACTATGATAATGTCACCAGATATTTATCTTTTAAAAATGAAATGTTGGCATCAAGTATTATCTTTTTATATCACTGTTATCGCTTCTTACCATTCAGGTTAAGTATGCTCTTTTTTCACCAGTAGTATTTTTTCTTTTCCTAAGTTACACATTTACTAATGGAACCTTGCAAGGCCTTCTTCTTTTTTCAATCATTTTATTAGGGGCTCATAAAACTCATCACAATCCATACATCCATCAATTGTGTAAAGCACATTTGTACATTCATTACCCTCATCATTCTCAAAACATTTGTTCTCCACTTAAGCCCCTGGCATCAGCTCATTTTTCCCCCTCCCTCCCTGCTCCCACCTCCCTCATGAACCCTTGATAATTTATGTCATCATTTTGTCATGTCCTATACTGTCCGACATCTCCCTTCACCCACTTTTCTGTTGTCCTTCCCCCAGGGAAGAGGTTATATGTAGATTCTTGTAATCGGTTCCCTCTTTCCAACGCACCCTCCCTCCCCCCTCCCAGTATCATCACTCACACCACTGGTCCTAAAGGGATCATCTGTCCTGGTATTCCCTGTGTTTCCAGTTCCTATCTGTACCAGTGTACATCCTCTGGTCTAGCCAGATTTGTAAGGTAGAATTGGGATCATGATAGTGGGGCGGGGGGAGGGAGGAAGCATTTAGGAACTAGAGGAAAGTTGTATGTTTCATCGTTACTCCATCGCCCCCTGACTGGCTCGTGCCCTCCCAGAGACCCTTCTGTAAGGGGATGTCCAGTGGCCTACAAATGTGTCTTATTTTATTAGTGGAATCTTAATAGGTATGAATGGTGTGTTAGTCTTTGTGGGCAATCCATTGTTTCACTCCTTGTTTTTCTATAAGTATTGCTCTTAGGGTTCCCGAGGCTGTAAATCTTTACAGGGGCAGGCAGCCTCATCTTTCTCCCACAGAGCTCATGATGGGCTTGAACCTCTCACCTAATAGCTGGCAGGCAAACACTTAAACCCAAGGCCAATCAATATTTCTTTAAAAATCCAAATATAGTGGAAAAAATATGGACCCTAGTGAAAACACTCCGAGTCGGCTCCCTTATTTTAAGCAAGTTTCTTGACCTTTTCAGGCCTCTGTCATTTTTTGCAAAATCGGGTACACAATCTGTGCAGCTCCTTCACAGGAGTGCTGTGGTTAAAAGGTAGTAAGGTCCAACGACTAGCTCCCTGGACTTAGCAACATTCTCGCTTGTCAGGAGTTGGGGTGGTGTCCCTACAACCAACAACTAGATCAACTCACACAGCAGTCAGAGCTACTATCCTGGAGGCATTTAAAAAACACCTGAACACGGACGACAGGATCCTCTTTTACGCAGACGTGAGACTGTCTGCAGAAACACGAGCAGGCAAAGCAACACTGCTTTTTCTGGTATGCTCTTTCTTAGGGTGGAGGTTTGGGGAGCAAATATGCTAAAGACATGGAAATGGGAAGTTTTTAATACTACTCAAGACATCAGACCTGCAAGGCTTCTCAACGAATGCTCTCTTCTTAACCAAACCAAACCAACTCTACAAAGGCTGTGTTCTTTCAGATTCAGTGGGAGGGCAGGCAGGCCATACTGAGCCGTACTCTATGCGGACGGACGGACGGACACTTAGGCTGGGCGACAATCCACTGCAGGGACTCGCAAGCTCCTTTTCCTGGTCAACAGCTCGCGCGGTGGATGCAGATGTTGACATTGATTTGAACAGCTGGCAGCCAGCTGTCCGGCTTCCAGGTCTGACCTCGAAGCTCCCGGAGCGTCCCTGGCGCCAGGGGAAACTGAGGCCCGGCGCGGGGGAGGAGGGCCGGGCCCAGGTGCCGGCCGCCGCGCTCACCTGAGCAGCGCCAGGAAGGCGGCGGGCTCCACGTCGGGCAGCTCGATCTCGGCCGACGTGGTGGCCATGCCGCCGTTGAACATGGCGTCGAAGACGGCGCTGCCGGCCGCCAGCACGAAGCGGTGCGCGGGGATGCGCTGCGGGCCCCCGGCGGCGGCGGCGGGGCCGCGGCCTTTGCCCAGCACGAAGCGCACGTCGCTGAGCAGCTCGGAGTTGAAGAGGAAGGCGAAGCGCTCCTTCAGCGACGCCTTGGTGGCCTGCCAGTTGTAGAGCGGCTCCCGCTGCAGGGGCAGCGCGGGCCCCGGCGGGGACGGCGGCGACCCCGAGAGGCCCGCCTCCGCCTCCGCCTCGGGCCCCGGGGCCTGCTCCGCGGGCGCGCTCGGCCCGATCGCCGCCATGGTCGAGCGGCGCGGCTCCGGGCGGAGGAGAGGGTTCCCGGGGCGCACGCCGCCCCCGCCCCCGGCCCCCCGAGGCCGGCGCCGCCTCCCTGCCTTCCGGGAAAGGCGCTTCCGGAGCCCGCGCGCCCGCGCGCCCCTCCCGGCCCCGCGCGCGCTCCCGCCGCGCAGGAGCTCGGCTGCGGCTGGAGAACGCTGGGCACGCGGGGGGCTCTTCGGGGGGCGCTTGGGGCTTCTCCCCGGCCGCGCGCTGAGCTGCGTTCCCAGAGCTGGGGCTTCCGCTTGCCGAAGGGTCCGGCGCCTGACCCAAGTCCCTGGACCGGCCTGCTCAAACCGGTGGCTCAGTGGACACCTCTTGCCTTCTTCCTCCCTCCTTGGCCCTCATCACCATCCCCTGGAGTCCCGTATTTTCCGAGGACAGCCTTTCCAGGAGTCTCCTACTAGGAAGTGGCAGGAGATGGAGGGCAAGTAGGTTGGGAGGGAGATGGTGAGATTTCCTTCCGACAGCCCTCATGTCCAAGCTGTCCCTGGCTCCTGCTGTGATTGGAGAGCGGAGCCCTGATGTCTCCTGGGGCCTGCAGGCTTCTTCCCCTTCACACTGTTCCTTTGTCCAGGCCCCCCAGTCGCAGCGATGCGCCTCCTTGTCTCAGGCCCTCATCCAGGCCTGCTGCTTGTATCGCTGCCCTTCAAGCGCTTATCGCCAATCCCTACCGCCGGCAAAGCAACACTGATGTCAAGAGCCCAGGGTCAGGTGCAACGGTTGGATTATTGCCTCAGGGGCAGCAATTGGAATGTGGATCTTAAGGACCGAGCAGAGAGGCCTCCCCAACTCTTAATCTGCTATCCCACCAGAACCCAGAAAGTTAGAGACCAAGGGAAAGGGAGATGTAGTTAGAGGTATCGTATTTTTTGAATAGGTAAAGCCTTCTAAATTAAAATGCCAAGTTATAAGACCCCTAGACCTGGGTTTCTACCCCAAAAGCACTCCACCTGTCTCATCCCCCCGGAGGTGACTTCCAGAGCTGTTACTCCTTGAGAATGGACCCTCTTTGGAAGAGGAACATGCTGTCATGGTTTGAACTGGGTCCCGGAAATAGATGTAAACTTAACGGGGCCCTGAGTCCAGGTGGCTTGGCAGCTATGTAATGGTGTAATGTGGCAGCTGTGCTGAGCCCATCCACTAGGAAAGGATTAAGGGTTAAGGCACATCCTTTTTTTTTTTTAATAAAGAAATCATTTTATTGGGGCCTCTTACACCTCTTATAACAATCTGTACTTCAATTGTATCAAGTGCATTTGTACATACGTTGCCATCATCATTTTCAAAACATTTTCTTTCTACTTGAGCCCTTGGATTCAGCTCCTGTTTTTTTCCCTTCCTCCCCCATCCTCCTGCCCTTGTGACCCCTCGATGAATTATAAATGATTATTATTTTCATATCGTATGTCACCCGCTGTCCCCTTCACCCACACTTCTGTTGTTTGTCCTCCTGGAGGCGGCGGTATACATTGATCATTGCAATCGGTTCCCCCTTTGTCCCTAGAAGGCACCCCCTTCACCAAGTCCTACTCGTGACCTTACCTGAGGGAGTGTCCCTAGGGTGTAACCTACAACACCTTTTATCCTGCAAGAGATGAGACAGAAACAAGCGTGGGACAGAGGAAGCTGCGACCACTAAGGAAACCGTGGTGTGCTCTTAGGGGCCTGAGGACCCTTCACTGGGAGACTCCTAGCCCCCGGGGATGATTTATGCTAAGACACAATAAGAGCTTCAGGAATAACAGGCTTATAGATGCTAAAAGGAGACAAGGGCCATTCCCCAGACTAACTGAGAGAGAGAGAAAAGAGAGAGCGAGAGAGAGCTGGCTCTCTGCACTTGGTCTTCTAGCCCCCTGAACTGTGAGCAAGTGCGTGTGTTTATTAAAGCCATCCACTTGTGGGACTGCTGGAAGGGTAGCACTAAGGTACAGATAGCTAAGATGTTCTGGAAGAGTTTTTTTTAAACCAATGGCTTTACATTATTTACTGTTAGTCTTTCCATGCAGAGGCGTCAATTCAAGGAATAAACCAGATATTTGCCAATACACACACATTCAATTGTCAGATGGTGGCAAAGTCATAAAGGCAGCATGACAGAAAGCTAGTGAGTCTCGGTCAATGCCTGTGGCGTCTGTACCTCATCTTATTACTTCCCACAGTCTATGAAAATGGGGTGAACCATTTATTTGTATCTTGAGGAAACTATACTCAGAAGGCTACCAATTAGGGGATATTGTTTGGTACCTACGAAAAGCACACACCATGTGAGTCCCTGTGAAAGGTAGAAAGTTTAGAGATAAAAGGGGTTGTCTCCAGTGAATGCCTACGCTTAACTTCCTGTCCCTGGAGCTGGGAACTGTTATAAATGGGCCAGATCAACCATACCACTATATTAATAGTCAAAGCCTTTATTAAACAGCTGGACTGAGAGTGGGCTAGCACCTGGAAATTTCGTGATCTAGAATAAAGAAACTCCAAACTTTCAATAGATCAAAATAGGGACTGACTCAAGGGGAGGGATATTCTAACAGTGACATTCTTATCAGGTTGGCAGGGGAATGGTGTTTTGGGCAAACGGCACAGCTGCAGGTGCTAATTCAAGGTCTTATAAGATAGTGTACATTTCTTGCCAATTGGGCAGGCAGGGTTTGGAGACATCTTGGAAGAGTCAAGGTCTTGTTGGGAGATCTGGGAGAGGGAAGAGGAGAAGGGGGGCCTAACTGCTAGCAGGGGGTAAAGGCAGTTTGAAACAAGATGGAGTCCCTTATGTTAAGCTGGGCGACTACACTACGAATCTCTTTACCTCACCTTCAGTGCACACTCCTTCGTTTCGGACCTCATCTTTCCCCACTAGTGTCGGGCTTTCAACATGTTGGACTTAAACTGCACGGCTTGCAGTTTGAAACCACCAGCCCTCATGGGAGAGAGATAGGGCCTTCTGCTCTGGTACACGACTAGGAACCTGGAGGTCCCCGGGACCATTCAGCCATGCCCTATGGAGTTGCTAGGAGTCAGAGCAGTGAACTTGCAGCCTATAGTGCCCGGAGCAAATGTAGATGTCGGCAACCAGATGCTCTGACAAGATGGCTACTGGAACCCCATACCCCACTGTGTTAGTCTGGGTTGACTAGAGAAACAAATTCATAGACACTCATATATGTGTAAGAAAGAGCTTTATATAAAGAGTAATTGTTCATTAGGAAAACATCCCAACTCAGTCCAGATCAAGTTCATATGTCCAATACCGATCCATAAATTCCTCTTTAGACTCAACACAGCCATGCAATAATGCTGAATGTAGGAAGATTACAGGCCAGTGGGTGGAAAGTCTTGTGGATCCAGTGGCGGTGGAAGTGTCTCAGCGCTAGCAGGCGTCTCCAGATGGCTCCTACAGCTCCCAGGGCTCTGGCTGCATCAACATAGCTCCATCATGCTCCTCATCAGTAATGTCTTGCAGGGAGTGTGTGTGTGTGTGTCCCACCTCCAGTCAGCTATTTATCTCCTTAGTGCCTCCAAATGAAGTCATCAAGCTGTGACCTGGTTGACAGCCTAAACTCCACCCTTCACTCTTACGTCTCAAATTGACAACAGATCATGTAACTACTACACCCACCATTCCCCACATGTCGGCCTTCCTACTGTCCCAGGTGATTTCTTCTTCCATGTTTTGCTACTTCCACCTCCTGAAAGCCTCCTTTTCTATGAAGCCATCAGAAGACTGCTTCCTGTGTAGGCCCTGCTCTCCCCTTCCACCTCCCTTTTCCTTTCTGGCACCTTTCAACCCTTTGTTGCTGCCTTCCTTCTTACCTCCAACTGCCACTCAGCCTGTGCTGTTTATTCTGTTGGTCTCTCTGTAGGAGTGCATCCGCTCCTCCCCATGTTTTCTCTTCTCTCAATCCCCTGACTATTCAGCCATTCTGCGGGACAGCTGAACACTTGACCCTCTGCTGACTCATTCCAAAGATGGCGCCTCTTGATTCACCAACCACGCGTTCCTGGGGGCCCTTTCAGTTATCGACTAGTTAGCCCCTTTCAGAATGTCCAAGCATCCTCCCTCCAATTTATAGGTAACCTGGGTGTGAGGGAATGCCTCGTTTTCTTGAGTTCAAATGTTTTGTTTTTGGTCTTTGGTCTTTTGTTTTCTTGCTTGTTTTCCTTTTGTCAAGCATTGGCCAAAAGGCATTTGCAAGTTAGGTAACTGAGCAATTTCTAATCCTGTCATTCCCAAGACCACTCACGAGGCTTCTGAAGCACAGTGGCCCACACACGGGGCATTTACGTCCCTGGTACAATTCCGTTGGGTTAATGAATACACAGCCAAAGATCCCAGTTTCTCTAGATTTGACTGCACTCAGGTTGACCCATTAGACAGGTACTGAGGCCACCAGGTGGTGGGCCTCTAATACTGGCTCGCCGTCTAGAAAATGTGCTGGGCCTGCCCCATGGTTTAAGGCTGGGTCCTGACACCGCCAAGGATAGAGACGTCAGTCTGAGGGTCTCAGGTTCCAGGGGACTGGAACTTTGGATTATGATTGAGGTGACCAGATTTTAACCCCGGCAAAGCATTGGTAAAGCGGGACACCATTGGGGGGTGGGAGGTGGGGGTGGGGGGCAGGGGTGTTCTTGATTAAAAATTTGTTCTTCCCATTCTCCCGCCGTTCCCTAGCTTGTCGAGCATTCTTTCCAAAAATTGGGACTTTTTAAAAATGCCAAGGGACGTGGGACAAATTGTTAAAAAGCGGGACGTCTGGTCACCTTAGTTATGATCCAAGATACTGGCTCTCTAACCTTTTGCTATTTGTTTATAGACGGGAATCCTTTCCCAGGGAAATGCTTTGTAATGCACCCTGTCTAACTGGTCTAGATTAGATCCACAGCTGCTATAGACGTGGAAACTAGTGTTCGTCTGGAATCCCATCTGGCCCCAGTACATGCTAGGTGGTGAGGAATCCTGACCAAAGCA